TTAACCCCCCCTAGAACTCCCCGCAATACGTCGGAGTCTGTCCACCACTTCTTGGCTTTTTCGGTGCCTATTTGGGAGTGCTACGTTCCGGACGGGGCCGCTTGCTGCAGCCAGCAACGGGGACGACTTCACGCCCTCCCTGTTCCTGGCTGCTGCAGCTAGCTGCGTTGCACGATGGAGGTTTTTCCTCATTGTCCTTCGCTGATTCCCCCAGAATTTTCGTAAGCGCCGCCTCGTAAGGAATGTCGCTTTTGAGAAGCGCTGTCAGGTGTCTCCTCTTTGCACCCGAGAATCTTTCCCAAAGCGGCCTCCAGACTCACGGCGAGAAGTCTCGGCGTGGAGGCTCGCCGAGATTTCTTGCGAACCTAGTGTACCTGTTCATACTCATGAACTTTTCTTGAGTAATGTTCTCGCCCGTATCCGGTATGGACGATTTTGACAGTGCAGCGGCCTTGGTATTGTGCGCATTAGCATACTATAACCTAGTCAATATTAAAATAAATACTGTTAAGAAAAGAAAAGGGCCCAGACGATGGTGGATGACACACATTCATCGCAATAGAACAAGGTTTGTATTTGTTTTTAGCTTTGAAAGAATAGATGTGATAGTCCTATTATTATCTCCTATAGCATATACGAGTATACAACAAATTAACGTATATTGTCTCTTTCAGCTTAAGTATGGAAAATCAACTGGGATAACTAGTTGCTGAACCAAGTGGAGAATTCAAAAGGTTTACACTAACGTCAACTGTAGATTTTGAGTTTTTGCTTAACAAGATTTCTCCACTAATTACCAAACAAGATACACAACTGCGAACAGCTTTACCAGCCCGAATGCGACTTGCAATAACACTGAGATACTTGACCACAGGAGATTATTCCAGAAGTATGTGCAGCGCTTAATCAAATATTACAAACAGAAATAAAGGTTAGTCTTATAAACTATTTACACTATTTACTATGTACTTAAAAATAAAAGTCATACAACTGAAAAAGTGAGGTAGGTATAATAATTATAAACTAATGAAATCAGAACACATTAAACAAAACTTAAGCAGGCTTGAGCAATAATGTCAGACAGATGATCACCTCCCACGGCCTGGTTTGAAATTATGCGTATGTTTGAGAAAGTTTCTACATCTGTATATTGTGATTGAGAAATTTCGGATGCTTTGGAATAAATTTGGCGTGTATGTTGTTCTTGTGGCACATGAATTTGTGCTGGTTCGGAATATTCCATGCGCGGATTCTGAATATAAAGAACTTCGCGGGACAACGGTTCTGAACAGGAAGACATAGGAGACGAACATCGACTGCATTGTGAAGGTGCAATAAATGTAGTGGATGTAAACCTGTTTAAATGCTTTGCACGGCGGCGATTGAGAATCATACCATCGATATCATACATAATTTCCAGTCTTTCCTCTTCAGAGAATGCTCGCAATTTCTTCGCTAACCCTAACGCATATATGTCACAGTCGTCTTAGGAGGCTTGAGAATCCCTTTTTTTAATGCTTTGCTGCAGTAAACTAGCTGCTTCCTTCACTTGCTTCCCGGCTTCTTGCATCTCGCACTGGAGTGAACGAGGACGAGCAGTCTGAGGTGTCTTCGTTACATTTTTGTTTTCTGCTATTAGTCTATTTTCATTGATCGTTTCCTCTTCATTATCAACTGTAGGAGTACAAGGCTGTTCTGTCTGAAAATAACATAAATCATTAATATAGGAAAGCAACAGTACTGATTAATAGTAATAATGCATAATCAAGATTATTTTGTTTCGGATTCCATCATCTCCAGAAGGATGGTTGGAGATTGAAACAGGATTTAGTTTTAAATTTCCTAGGGCTATCGGTGCAATAGATGACAAACATATTATTCTGAAATATCCTCCTAACTCAAGCTCAGACTACTTCAACTACAAGAAAAATTTTAGTATTGTGCTTATGGCACTAGTCGATAGTAAATATAAATTTATTTTTGCTGATGTTGGTGGTCAGGGAAGGATAAGTGATGGAGGAATTTTTAGAAATACTTTATTATGGGACATGATTTCTAACAATACTCTAAATTTACCAGCACCACTGCCAAGCTCAAATATAAATAATCCGTATGTGTTTTTGGGAGACGGTACATTTGCACTGCACACGCATATTATAAAACCTTATCCTGGAAATCATGATAAGAACAGTCCTGAATGCATATTTAATAAAAAAATTATCTGTATCACGCGTGGTTGTGGAAAATACATTTGGAATATTGGCTTCAAGATTTCAAATATTTCAGAGGCCAATCGAGCTAATTCCAGACAAAGTTTCTATTATTACGATGACTTGTATATTATTACATAATTATTTAATGAACAGCAAAACTTCTTCACAGATATATTCTCCACAAGGCACTGTTGATGTTTACGATGATAATGATACTCTCATTCGACCTGGCTCATGGCGTGAACAAATAACAAGCAGTAATGCTATTCAAAATGTGCCATGCATACCACGCCGGACAGCTGCCAGCGCTAACCAAATACGAGAAGAGTAAAAAACTATTTTTTCAATATCCGTTAGTTTGGAATTTTTGTTTAGTGAGTATATGTTGTTTATAAAAATAATTCAATACATACACTTAAGGTAGTATTTATTGTTGCTCTTGCAAACCATATTGGTTTGTACACTTTCTCTCCTGCACCCGATCGAGAGGAATCTTTAACCATTTTTCTGTACTAGCGATAGCTTGCAAAAAGAGATTCCTTCTTCTTTTTCAGATCTGGTACCGGTTTGTCCATTAACTCTCCAATTCTACTTCACGCGTCGTGATTTAGACTCTTATCTTTGTAATGCCGGTGTTTTGAATCCCATAAAATTGGCTCAGCTTGAAAATGTTCTATGAATTTCAATTCTAATTCGTTATTCCACATTTTATAAAAATACACAACGCCAAAAGTGAATTAAAAAACGAAAACTATAGGCTCACACCACATGTACCCTGCCGCTGAAATTAGCACGGGACTAAAGGAGAATATAGATAGTGTCTCCTTTCTCTCCGAGAAAACCCTTTATAGCGGACGAAAGTACCGACATTGTCCGGAGAACAGGCGAGCCCGAGAACGAATCTGCGAGAAAGTCGTCACATTCACACTTCTCGGGTGTTCTCGGGGCATCTCGCCGTGAGTCTGGAGGCCGCTCAAGGCTTTTTCGCCTTAGAGTCTGCCACCTCTGGAGAAGGGTTCAGTAGTTCCCTCTCCTGCTCGGAGGTGACAGACAATGGAGTCATTTCCCCTATTATTAGGGGTCAGCTCGCCCTGAGGAACATATCATCCTCTGACGCCCCAGAGAGCGATTCTTCTCTCTGCTGTGATGGAGATGACGGCCAAAGATCGCCAATCTCGATTGGTTGTTTCTCCAACAGTGGGTCGAGGTTTTGACCCTCCTGGTTAGGGTTGAGGTTTTGTCGTTGGTTCATGTTGTTCCCACGAGTATTGATGATATAAACCGTCACTGTACCCCATACGTACAGAAGGCTAAACTTACTGCGCAATTCGGCCCGGTGTTCTGGAGTACTTACTTGCGAAGTCCATGCTTTGAAATCGTCTAAATCCATAATTATCCGAGAATACTCGCAATTCAAAAAATAGTGCTAAGTATATGAATTTAATGACAGAACTGTAAAAAAATGGACTTATGTCAAGTCACATCAAGAAACACCATGTCACTCATTCCCGTCGGTCTGTCTATCTGTCCGCTATAGCTTTGAAAGTACCAGTTGGAGTTTTCACACAATGTTACTTCTATGCCAAGATCAAAAAAGCTTTATAGACTTTGAAATCGATACAGTGGCGGCAAAAATTAATGAAAAAAATCGCTCTAACTTTGTTTTTTGGCGTTTCGGAGGATCATCTCTGAAAATTTTTTTGGGAGTAAAAATTGGGAGATGGAAGTTGTAGGAGAGTGGACGATGGTATGTCTCAATTGCTTGACATTGTATACTTATAGCCCTCTATCAGTGCTCCCTAAAAGGTGCCGTAGACCTTTTAGACATATTTGCAACTTGATACATTTATTTTTTTTTTATTACTACATTTTGGTAGCTTACTTTTTTCTCAGAGGGGACAACATGTTCGTAGAAAGTCAATCCTACATAACATGCTGTTTCGTTCATCGGCCAGAAAAGCATGGAGATTCCTAATCTAAATTCATCTTGATCTTGATCCTACTTTTTTTTATTTCTTACAATCAAAAGTAGGTGCAGTTTGAACACGAAGTATCTTGATTGGAAAACATAACGAGACTGTTCTCGTTATCATACAGCTTTTGTTGTAGTAGATGTGCTTCTAATAATTAAGCTAAATCGTCTGCACTATAAGAACTTTGAGCTTATCAACGAAGCAACGTTGAGCGTTTCGTGAATGTTTGAGGATTTTTCCGTCCCAGACTCTCAGTTCCGGCTGCGAATTAATTTCCACGATTGTGCACCGCGAAATTGTTGGCAATCTTCTTCAAGCATTTCCTACCTTGCATTCCAACAACAATTAGCCGATTGGTTAGTTTGGATAAAGACGGGAGGTGAACGAGAGAGATGCAAGCTCCGTTGAAATAAAATAAATTATACATAACTGTGCTAAATTAATTTTACTGTACGTATAGGATAGAAGGTATTCTAAGATAATGGGATGAACTTCCGCACACTGCTCCAAAATCAGGAAATCATTAACTAAGAGTTAGAAGTCAGAGAATCAATCTGATTTTGTCCCTGTAGACAACCTATGTTATCACAAACACTTTTATAGGTCACAATAATGCAAAATATGGCCTAATTATGAAAAAGAAATTGTGTTTCTTTTTGGACGGAAGAGCACATTTTTAGCATTTGAGAGAGCACTAATCACGGACTATAAGTGAGACTCATGATACATTGCTGCATGCATTACTGTTGATATTTTCTTCGTAAACACCAATTTCGAAAGTCTGTATAAGACAAATTTTATTTTTTTTTTAAAGAACTAATCCTTGTGCCGAACTATGTAATTCCTGAAGAAGTTGATAATTACCAGTAAACTGATATAATACTTACTTACTATAATTATTCAATTCAGCAAGATCATTGATATTTTTTATTATTTACCAGTACTTTTCATAAATAATTTTCTTTCACAACAAAATGAACAATACAAATTTAAAAACTGGCAGAGTGGACAATATTAAATATTTAGGATTTTTGTTGACCAACAATTAAAGTGGGACATTCATACATTTTGAAGAAAATAAGATTTGTTACATACAAAATAAAATTCCTCACATGCATATTGACAGAAAATTATATGCGCAATATATATCATGCATTATTTGAGCCACCTAAGGAATGGGAGATTAGCATGGGGTACAGCATGTCCGGGGTACTTGAATGACATAGAAGTTTTACAGAGAAGTATTTTAAAAATTATGTTCGGAAAACCAAAATTATATTCAACAACTGATTTATATAACGAAATAAAATTATTTGATATCAAGCAACTTTATTTTTTACATACTATTAGCCATTACCACAAAGGTGACAGTGAACGCAATAAAATCACACATTGCCATTATAGACGGTATAAATCACGAGCAAAAATTGCCCCTAAACCTCATAAAACCATGATGAAGCGATCTCTTCTCTATTTGGCTCCAAAATTATATGAAAACGTATCCAAAGACTTGAAACAATTTCGAAATACACATAATTTTAAAAAGAAATTATCAGAATGGATACGCGGCAATAGGAGGAAAACATATTATTGGACTCCTATCAAATATTCCTTAAAAAATATCATCCTCTGCACACATCGTTGATATACGTTTCTTTTATCTGTTTTGTTTTGATTTTGGAACACATTCCAACATACGTCTGATCCATGTAGAGGCGTTGTCCTTCTATAGATTGAAACATTTATTTACCCATTCTTTGTTGCTATTGTTCTTATATAATGGAGCAAATAAACGTCTACTACTACTACTTGTATTTTTAACTGTACTTAACCCGATTATCCAACTTCTAGTGCCTTTAGTTTAATTATTGCAATTTAAAAAATGAACCGCCTGTATCTTATAAGGTCGCAGCATTGATTAGCATATTTCACCTGGTCGCAGATCTTTGCAATAGGTGTTCATGAAGAAAATGTCGACAGTATTGTCTATCTATCAGTCTATCATTAGTATCACTTCGGATCCGTGCGCTGCCAGATAGTAAAAGATTGTTTCCATACAAAATGTTAACTTTTTTCTTCCAAAGGAGGCAATATCTTACAAATTGAGATCTGTAAAGGTTATTTGTAATAGCATAAGCTACCTGCAGAAAAAATATACCAATTATTTGCCTTTCGATGATGGTGACGATTTAAAAAAAATTAAAGTGCCTTTACCTTTTACAATAGGTCATTATGAAAAAAATGTCGTCAGTGGTGTACTCTAAAATGTATCATGAGTCTCGTTCGGATTCGTGAATAGTGCGGTGTGAAACGGTAAAAATGTGTTTTTTCTATACAAAAAATTAGAAAGTGTTTTTTTTTCTTCAAAATTAAGCCATATTTCACAAAATTGTGACCTACAGAAGTTGTAATAGCATAAGCTGTTTACAAAAAAATAGATTGATTTTTTACTTTCAACCGTAAGTTGATGACTTCTTGATTTGGGACCAGGGTGCTCCCTCACAAGGAGCACATTTGGGGAATGAGAGCACTGCTGCACTTACTGTCATCTCGACTTACATAAGACTAAGAGCCACATTTATAAGCGTTCTTCGAGGATTGGGTGCTGCTTGATGAATGGCCTCTCTTTGGATTTTAAACAAACAAGAACAATTCCTTGAAGAGATGATTTAGCATTTACATTGAGCAGTAGCTTGTGAGAGTTGTCGATGTCAGAAAAAATTTTCTTTGCTGGCCGTATCTATTTAGACATTTTGATGATACGTTCTTGACGAATTGGCTTATGTACCAAATTTTAGTGAGTAGTGCAAAATACTAATGCAAATTGTATCCTTTTTGGATTTTGTAACAGATCCACAGGGCGGAGGTGAAAAAGTATAGGCAACCGGCATTGCGTTTGATAGCGAGCTTATTTATATAGATTGAAAATTATTTTATTGACAACCCGCAAATAAATCCACTGTTTCCATGAGTACAGTACATTGAAAAGAAATTCTTCGAAGGGCAGAGGAGTAAATTTCTGTTATTACACGCCTAGAAGCATGTCAATTTTTGTTGCAGCTGCCTGCAACTTTGACAATTGTGCGACATTATACAATAATTGGCAAAGTAAGAAGGAAACATATAAAGCCCAAAAATCAGAATATTTTTTGAACATACACCTATGTCCTCTACATTGGTTCTGCCATCTTTATTTCCGGAGAATCGGAACCAAATTCATTATCAGCAACCCTCAAAACATACAAAACTCAATTTCGAAAGCAATCGAAGCATCTGTTGCAAACATATCCGCTATATTGGAATCGCCACTTTCATTTCGAAAAAAAATTATATTTAATTCGTTGCCATCCACGTCAGAGACATACAAAAGGGAATTTGAGCGCAATCCAAACATTTCTGGCCGCCGTTCGTCACTTTGATGTTCGCCAAATGCATCATCATCGATCTACAAAAACGTAAATGACGTTTTTTGGTGAGGTTTAGTGGACCTATGTAGTTTCGGACATGTTCTGCGACATTTCAAGTTACTTATTGAAATATATGGCAGTAGCGACGAACACCAAAGTCGGTATTTCAATGGGTTAGTTTGACTTCAGATTCTGGCGAAAACGCCATGGCGTCCGGCACGGGTATCACGTACCTTGAAAAGTGACATTATGTCGATATTTGTTAACATTATGCTAGTTTTTTTGACATTATGTAGGTTACTCTACAAGATGTTAACTTAGCACTTAGTTTTAGGTGCTGTCTAAACATCATGAGGCTTGTTATCAATCTTTGGCTCTGATGTGATGTAAAATCTGCTTCTTAGATGGCATTACTGGAGGTCTAAGCTATAAGTTGTATGTGTTGATGATAATTACATTGGGTTCTTGTCTCAAATACACTTAATTGGGATTCAAAGCTAGAAATTAGTTGCGCATCCACTTTTTCTTATCCATTCTGGAAATTACATATACAAATTTGCTGAATTTCAACAATGAGAGAGATAAGAAATAACTATATTTCACTGTACACTGTCGAATTACAAGCCATATACATGCAAACAGTAACACACAACGCGGGCGCGGTGATGATTTCCCGTAATTCTCTTCAGTTTTTCGTAATTTCTAACTTTGAACATAACCTCTCTTCAGAAAGCACAACATATAAATAACCCATATTCGGCATGTTCAGTAATGATTTTCTCACACACCAAATATCACTGATTTTATACACATGCAGACCAATAGACATAATCATCCAGATGCGATCTTGATATTCAACCAACTTTCTTCTCAGAGATAAAAACTACAGACACGAATATTATGACTACCGAGTTTTTAACAAAAAAACCGACTTACCATGGATAATGAAACAAAGGAGGTATTAAGCATCCAGAATTGCTGGACTGTTAATGGACAAATTAGAGCCGCCTTATCTGTTGGCAAAAAGACCTTTATCGCTTCTATGTACCTCAGCTAGACAGCTTCAAACGTGCTCCTGGATCTCAACATCAATCTTTGGCTAGTGCATACTCGACAAGATCCAAGAACAAGTGATGTGGCAGCGTATGATATAGTAGCGGTCTCAGAAACATGGTTATAAGCAAATACTACTACAGATACCGTAAATATTGAGGGATATATACTAAGTGACATATAAATCCGAACACCCAGTTTAAATGGTTTTATTTTAATAAAAGTTGGTAAATGTATTTATCTTACTGTAAATAACAAGTGAAAAAATTTTCAGCCTTATCAGTTGGACATTCCGGTTTTTATACTGCTTTTTTTTTAATTCACTAACGCTCTAAAAATGAATATTTCAGCCGCAGTAAAGAATCAACGTTGGCGGATTTTGGTTCTTGACATCCTTTACGATCGGTTACGATGCCTAGAGTACGAAGACCTGTACGATTAGTGAGTTTGATAGGGGCCGTATAGTGGGACTTCGGGAAGCTGGACTTTCTTTTCGGGCAATTGCAGTTAGAGTGCAAAGAAGTGGTTAGGTGTTGTCAGGCATGGCTTCGAGAAGGCCGTACGCAAAGAGCAAGTGGCACTGGACGCCGCCGTAGAACAACAGACCGTGAAGATCGCCGCCTAAGATTATTGGCCTTAAGGGACCGTTTCTCCACTACCAGGTCCATTGCAAATGAATGGTTTGCAGAACACGGAAGACCTATTGGCATGCGAAGTGTTTACCGACGAATGAGAAGTTTTGGCTTGTTTTCATACCGGCCACACTGGGTCCTCCCTTTAACTCGAGAACACCGACGTAATCGCCTTGAGTGGTGCAGACAACGATCACTCTGGGATCAGGAATGGAACAGTATTGTCTTTAGTGACGAGTCTCGATTTTGTTTAGGCATGCACGATGGTCGTGCCAGGGTTAGAAGGCGACGTGGTGAAAGGAGGAATCCACAGTTTTTTGTTGAAAGACATGTTCATCACACTGTTGGAGTTATGGTTTGGGGTGCTATAGCTTATGGTTCCAGGTCACCTTTAATCTTCATCAGAGGTAACATGAACGCGCAGCCTTATATCGACGAAGTTCTAGAACCCCATCTTTTACCCTATCTTGACACCCTGGCACGACCATCGTGCATGCCTAAACAAAATCGAGACTCGTCACTAAAGACAATACTGTTCCATTCCTGATCCCAGAGTGATCGTTGTCTGCACCACTCAAGGCGATTACGTCGGTGTTCTCGAGTTAAAGGGAGGACCCAGTGTGGCCGGTATGAAAACAAGCCAAAACTTCTCATTCGTCGGTAAACACTTCGCATGCCAATAGGTCTTCCGTGTTCTGCAAACCATTCATTTGCAATGGACCTGGTAGTGGAGAAACGGTCCCTTAAGGCCAATAATCTTAGGCGGCGATCTTCACGGTCTGTTGTTCTACGGCGGCGTCCAGTGCCACTTGCTCTTTGCGTACGGCCTTCTCGAAGCCATGCCTGACAACACCTAACCACTTCTTTGCACTCTAACTGCAATTGCCCGAAAAGAAAGTCCAGCTTCCCGAAGTCCCACTATACGGCCCCTATCAAACTCACTAATCGTACAGGTCTTCGTACTCTAGGCATCGTAACCGATCGTAAAGGATGTCAAGAACCAAAATCCGCCAACGTTGATTCTTTACTGCGGCTGAAATATTCATTTTTAGAGCGTTAGTGAATTAAAAAAAAAAGCAGTATAAAAACCGGAATGTCCAACTGATAAGGCTGACAATTTTTTCACTTGTTATTTACAGTAAGATAAATACATTTACCAACTTTTATTAAAATAAAACCATTTAAACTGGGTGTTCGGATTTATATGTCACTTAGTATATATCCCTCAATATTTACGGTATCTGTAGTAGTATTTGCTTATAACCATGTTTCTGAGACCGCTACTATATCATACGCTGCCACATCACTTGTTCTTGGATCTTGTCGAGTATGCACTAGCCAAAGATTGATGTTGAGATCCAGGAGCACGTTTGAAGCTGTCTAGCTGAGGTACATAGAAGCGATAAAGGTCTTTTTGCCAACAGATAAGGCGGCTCTAATTTGTCTATTAACAGTCCAGCAATTCTGGATGCTTAATACCTCCTTTGTTTCATTATCCATGGTAAGTCGGTTTTTTTGTTAAAAACTCGGTAGTCATAATATTCGTGTCTGTAGTTTTTATCTCTGAGAAGAAAGTTGGTTGAATATCAAGATCGCATCTGGATGATTATGTCTATTGGTCTGCATGTGTATAAAATCAGTGATATTTGGTGTGTGAGAAAATCATTACTGAACATGCCGAATATGGGTTATTTATATGTTGTGCTTTCTGAAGAGAGGTTATGTTCAAAGTTAGAAATTACGAAAAACTGAAGAGAATTACGGGAAATCATCACCGCGCCCGCGTTGTGTGTTACTGTTTGCATGTATATGGCTTGTAATTCGACAGTGTACAGTGAAATATAGTTATTTCTTATCTCTCTCATTGTTGAAATTCAGCAAATTTGTATATGTAATTTCCAGAATGGATAAGAAAAAGTGGATGCGCAACTAATTTCTAGCTTTGAATCCCAATTAAGTGTATTTGAGACAAGAACCCAATGTAATTATCATCAACACATACAACTTATAGCTTAGACCTCCAGTAATGCCATCTAAGAAGCAGATTTTACATCACATCAGAGCCAAAGATTGATAACAAGCCTCATGATGTTTAGACAGCACCTAAAACTAAGTGCTAAGTTAACATCTTGTAGAGTAACCTACATAATGTCAAAAAAACTAGCATAATGT